CAACTTATGGATGTTATGTTCTTTAGCTTTCCAACACTCAGTTCCATAATCTTCTATTACATAAAATAGAAAAACCCAAACTTTCATATTCGGAATTGCAGAGTATTGAGACAATACTTAAATGCTATACATATTGCATACCTAAAAAAATAGAAAAAAATCATGGGTTCTAGTCTCAACGCCTTCCAAATGAAATTTTGCACGTGTTATGCTTTTATGAGAAAGATGAACTTTTCTGGCATGTGAAGGGCATGTTGAAAATAATAATTCAATTATATACATATGAGGTTGCAAGTATATTGATAAACGTGACTTCCATAGGAATTAGGATGGTTATTCTTTTTATTGAAGTTATATATGGTTGTATGATGTGATTGGAAACATCATCAGAAAAAGAATATAATTACGAATCGACAATATTAATAGCTAAGAAGACCGGTACACTACAGTATGACCAATATTGATAAGTATTTTTCCATTTGTACATAAACCGCTCCACAGAAATGCACCGGAAAACTCACAATGGGGTGAGGCCCATTGTGTATTAAAAAAATAAAAAATGCTCGGGCCCCACATGGTGTAAGTATTGTGGCCCATTTCTGATGGTTTTTCCATCTGTACGTGTAGCACCATTGGATTGATAAATCTTGAAATGATGATGTTGAGTCATTAATTACTATTTTCATAACTGGAAAGCATCAAACAAAACGAAATGATTAATGACTTTACATATATATCAACATCATTGGCTGATTTGAGTGATATAATCTGTCGGCTAAGAGTTTATAGATCTTAATAGTTGTGTAAAATGATAAAGACCTTGATACGTTGATTTATTTTATTTAATATATAGTCGAAAAAAATTCATTGACAATCGTGATTTGGTAGAAATTAGAATAATAGCAAACTGCCAATTTTATTTCAGAAAAATTTTTGGGTCTTTCAATTTGACCATGCAACTAGAAACACTTCCACCAAAACATGCTCATTTGGATTCATAATTTTTGGATCAAAATATATCGTCTACCAAAGATACAGAAGATCAAGACTTAAAAGATCTTCTTCGTTGTCCTTCTCTCCTTCTTCGACCCCTGTAGTATTGGTGTCATAGATAGAGG